TCCTGCTGTAAAGGGCCAGTAAGGACACTGATAGAATTTTTTGCTACAAGAGACCCAAAGATATCTTACCTACTGAACCACAGATTAGTAAGGGCCCATTTATACAGGTCTTCCGCTCTGCAGCTTAACTTGTCTGCAGACATTGCATTTGTCAAAAAGATGTGGAGATTACTGAACACATCTGGAATCAGCTGCTATATAATCATTGCTTTCCAACAGCATGGATGTGAGCCTGCTTATTGAGATAGCTGATCACTAGCTTATTACAAGTTGAGCTAGTGTCAAGCAGATCCCAGAGCTCTGAAATATTCACTTGAACATGTTCTAGTAATCAAGAGCAGCATCCCTAAAGGAAGCGTAGCTCAGTGGGTTATTAGGGATGGGCACCATTGGTCAAAGTGATCAGGGATCCAGCAAGATTGGGAGAGTACTTTACTGGATTCCCTGGACTCATGGTAGTCTTCCTTTTCTCCTTTAATCTTCCTCCTGTCATCACTTTTGGTCCCCTGGTGAGGAGATTCTCCAAGTTCAGCATTCTTGTACTCTTAATCTCAAGGGTATGGAGTAGAACCGAGGCTTCCACAGAATCTCCAGCACAATGTGGACCTCCAAATCTGGGAGCAGCTCAATATGGAAAGAAATGCACCTGCTACAGCTTTTTGAATCTAGACAGAATACAGACTAAGCTTCTAGAGAGTGAGCAGAAATAAGGATAGTTGAAGCAGTTAATATCCTTACTACCTGCCATCACGAGTGGTTGCTCCATCATCAAACAGATTAGCATATTTTAAGGTGCAGTACAGAGTCTGTCATTTCCTATTTTCATTCTCCAAAATCTAAATGGCCCATTTACTGTGTCTGAAAATGAACCTTAAAGTGCATCTTACCTTGGAATTCAGCAGTAGGAAGAGGGGATGATCTGGAGTTGTCTGGGCTCGCCACTGCAGAACATCTGCTAAGTATAGAAACTGAAACAAAGGAAAGATGGCAGAAAAGTTTCAAATTCACTTGAAATACACTACACCAATGCTGACCAATCTGTGGCATGCATGCTACAACTGGCACAGGCAGCCAGTATGCTTGGCACATAACGTGGGAAATGGGGGCCAGTGCTGGTTCAAAAGTTTGGCCCTGCAGGAGCTATGGGGGTAGATGCCACCAAATTCAGTGTTTGCATGTTCTGGTGGCAATGGCATTTGGTGGCACTGGGTGATGGCAGTAGCTGATTACAGTGGTACTCTCTCATACTTTGGACTTGTAGCACAGCTGCCAAAAAGGTTGGCCACCACTGCACAATGCTCAGCTTCGGCAAGGTACCATAACTGCTGACCCATCGCGAGCAGTCTGAATGAGATGTTGGACAGAGTCAGAAAGAGCTCAGTGTTACCTTTCTTGCCTGGTCATTATCCTCCAACTGGGTAACATCTCTCCCTGAGGCTTGTGCAATTCTCTTTCCAGCAACAAGGTTGCCTACAATCATTGAAGCTGGACCAACATCTGAGATCAGCAAAATAGAAGAGAAAACCAACTTAATGAAGCCATTCAGATTGACAATTGAGCACATACATTACCATAAGGAATACATACAATATAACTTCAAAAATGTAAAGGGTTGAACTCAAACATCTTATCAGACAGGAAAAAAATACAACCTGGTAACATAATTCCATACTTATGGCTTGTTTCTGAGGTAGCAAATTTTGGATTGCAGAGCAACAAACTCCAAGGCATGACTGCAGCTCACATAAACACACCCAAGTCCATTTTAAACTAGGTAACATAGGTACCACTAACAGTGAAGCTATGGTTACATGGAATTTAGCGTGGGTTAATCACACAGGTACTAATGTAAGACAGTGGGTAGATTTGGCAGTCTGTGCTAATGTCTATGCTGCCATGACTATATTGCTAAGCAGTAAGCAAGTTTAAAGTACTAGTTTAAAAGTACTGTACAAGTACTATACTGTAAAGTTCTGTACAAGATGCAATCACACCTTTGGACTGCAGTGTAGACACATCCTTAGAGAGACAAACACAAAAACTAAGCTACATATTATGCTTAACTCACCTGGCTGCTTTTGTCGAGGTTTAGGCAGGTTGGTAACACAAGTATGTGGACACATTAAAACATTGCAAGGATGCAGAGCACCCTCTAGAAAACGCTGTTTGGTTTCTGATATATGAATTCCTCCAAGTGGAGCCTTTGGCAAAGTGTTAGCAGGCACTAAGGCAAGACAATACACACCCACTTGGTGAATGCTGTCGATTGCCTTGAGGGAAAGAAAAAAATAAGACACTTGTATAAATGTAGGATTTAGACAGAACAGACACTCAAAATGCAAGTAATTTATAACATCAGAACTTTTACTTGCATCATGATTTACTAACAAAGGGACCAATTCTACATTCACTGAACTCATAGGAGTTTGTGCCATAACTTCAATGGGAGCAGAAACAAGACCCAGATTTTTGCTTTTGCAATCTAGCTCAAGGTGACCTGCACACCAGTGATAAGGGATGTTCCTAAAAAGTGGGTGAAGTGCAGAAAGGTCTCAAAGACCAGAATTATATCACAACAGGTTTAGCATGTATGGTACAGCCACAAAAATACAGTAGAACATAAGCCATGGAGAAGGAAAGGGGGAAACATTTTGCTGCTTTACAATCAATATCTGTTCCAGTCTGAGAAAAGTCTATAACAGATGCAGGTCAAATTTATTTCTATGAAAGGCATCCTTATTGTGTATACTTGTAAACAGATGATTTAGAAAGCACGAATTTTGGTAGAGACCACCAAGTCTTCTTTAAACAGCCTTCTTCTGAGGCTTAAGCAGCATTTGCACTTAAATTGTCCTTCTTAGTCCTTTCCTTCCTCCCATCTCATTTTCTGATCCTTCTGCCATGTCTGCTCTTTTATCTTTTGTGTCCTGCACCCCCTTCAGGAGTGACAGAGCTACTTCATGTTTCCCTGATTAGTAATAGACAAGGTTCCCTAAAGTAGCTGCTGACTTGGGGGTGGTCAGAGTGGGCAACGACCACTTCTGAATCACAGAAACCACATCTGCCAGTGTTAAGAATTTTCATGTAATACGATGAAGCAACCAGTTTACTACCAGATGGTTGCAGGAGAACATTCTGAAGGAGAGGTCTGTTTTTGATACTTTATAAGCTCAACAAAATGTTTTCAGAACCAACTAGACTGAAGGACAGTAACATAAATCAAGACAAAAGTATTAAAAATCAGCTATCACCTGCAGGGATTTATCAACATGAACTACAGAACTCGTCTTCCAAAAATAAACCGGACTTAAAAAATGCCATTAGCTAAGATCCCCCAAATACATTCAGAAGTGAGCTTATCAGAGCTTTATGTCATTTGAATGGAAGTTTTCTTATATGGAAGTGGACGCTCTGTGGTTCTCATTTGATACAATAGGCCTTATTCATCTGGAAAGAGAAAGGACAGATCTGACTACCTGTAGAACCCTGCTCATCCACTGAAAACTATCCTCCTCTGATGCATCGGGGCGCTGTTCTGCCACAAGCACTATTCGATCATCATGCAAAACGGTCACAGAAAACACTGCTATCCTAAAAACACAAAGGACAGAAGAATGATAGGACTGAAAAAGAAGCAACAAAGATGAACATAGCATGGTTTTATCATAATGTGGAAATGACTGCAATTCCCAGAGATACTATATTTTCCACATATACAAGCATTATTTGTGCCAGGTTACCACAAAATCACTCGCAAGTTTAGGACAAGAGCAGGTCTGATTTTAATATCTCTCTCACATACTTGAGTGAATTTGCAATCGCTGAAGTGGTAAGTGTGCTATCACAGACAGGTTCAAAACATGCAGGAGCTGTGCAAACATTACCTGCAACTGTCATGCATATTAATTCTCACTTGAAACATCTAGCTACCGGTTCACTTTTGAAAGAAGATAAATAACCATGGCAAATTCCTGGATGGCATGTCTGGCAATATCTAGACTGTTACAAATCACTTTTTAAAAGTTAAAATAGCTATGACTATAGGTCTTTCCAATATAAAACTAGTAACGCCTCAACCAGGAATATGCTAATTTTTAAAAACAGTACATGAATTGAAAGTAGTACAAAAAAAAAATCAAGCAGCAATGATGCATTTTTATTGTTGCTTCTGCAAGCAAGCAACAGTTCCACATGCCACTGCCACAGCTGCAGTTAGCATAGAGATCAATTTAAGGGCAATAAGGATGGAGGTATAGAATTCTCTTTGAGGGGTCCTTCAGCAGTTTCAAACAATCCCTTGTTTGTTCTTTAGGATACACTGAAAGGTTCACCTATTAGCACAGGCTGCCCTAAAGGGAGGCAGAAGGCTAGATCTGTGTGAGGACAATGAATGCATCATATACCCATGTTCTCTGACTTTTGGGAAGAGTTGCTGTTTAATTTTATTTGCATTTTACAACTTATGCTAAGGTGCTTAGGGCTCTGGACAGGCATTTGTTCTTATTTTTAAAAATATAAATAAATAAAAAAAGATGAAAAACTTTAAGGAGAAATTTTGAAAATTAGGTTTTAATACAAACCTACCCACAGCCACCAAGATTAATGATTTTATTACATTAAGGTACTTTAAAGCTATTTTCAATCTGTTTTAAATAAATTATATTTATGTTCATACTTTTGTTTTAGGTTATCAGGGAAAGTCCCATGTTCATATTCAAAATACTACTCCACCAGCATTTTTCCTTCAAAACACGCATCTAGAAATTCCTGTGCAAAACTTCCGACTTCGAAAATTTATGAAATATCTGAGGAGCAGAAGCTCGGAAATAAGTCTCAACGTATTTACCTTCCTCTGTAAACAAACTTCATTGGCTCTACTGCCAGTGCTGTGGCTACTACATCATCTGCATTGTGTCTGCGGCCACTCACTGTCATCAGACCGTCCAGTTTTCCTACCACAAACACCAAATTGTCCTGAAAAGATGACAGAATTTGAAACAAACAAGCAAACAAACCAAAATGCAAAGCCATGAGTCCTGGCAATATAAAAATATTATTTTTACTCAAATCTAAGATGAGGATTTTTCCTGCCCCCAGTCACCATGATGGGGGGTGGGGGGTGTCTTAGATTCAAGTACCAGCTCAGGGAAAGCAGCTAGTCAGTGGCCCTGGATTTGGGGCTGAAGCCAGAGCAGAGTCTCAGACTCCCCTGGGCTGGAACAGTTTGCTTGGCAGGGGCCATACTGCTGGAGGGAGGGCAGGGGAGACTGCAGGGAGAAGGGGAAGCCTACAGCCTGCACCCCACATGCCTTGCCCTCCATGCCTGTACCTGCACCTCCTTCAACCCCTTGCTCCCCCTGCTGCCAGGCTCCTCTGCCCCTCAGCTTCCCCTTCCCCTCTTACCTGCACACTTGCTCTAGTCCCTCCAGCTTTGACCTGGCCCAACCAGGAGCTGCTGCCACTTCTCCCTGGCTGGGCTGGGCTGGGGCTGGATGGGGTCATGGCTGCTACTGATTGTCAAGATCCAGAGCACAGCTGCAGCAGAAGGCAAGGGAGGGGAGCAGGCTGCAGGTACAGCAGGGGTGGGGGTGCATGGTGGGGGACAGGCATCTGGCCCCTCATGCCTTACTGCTGCTTTTCCACCACAGCAGTTGGGGGGATGAATTTAAGATGACCTTCCACTAATGAGATTCTACACATGGAAAATTATATAGTCTTAAATTTGAAGTAATCTTGGATTCGGGTACATACAGTTACCCAATGGATAAAATAATGATACTGGATAGATTTATAGGAGGCCAACATTCTGATGGAGAATTTTGTTCAATATAGTTGTCTTCCCCCTTCAATGTGAGAGCAACTGCCAACACCAGGCTGCATTATTCAATACTTCTGCATTCTTCACCTCAATAGACTTGAGATATGATCCTGACTTCTGGCTTTTAAGTGAGAAGGCACCCCCCTTTGGGAATGAAAAGTGTTAACACCTGTTATTCCACCCTTTGTTTAATTTATTCTGCAAACTGTCATACAAAGTTATACCTATTCTACACTTATTCTCTTTTTCCAGTCCTCCTACGTACTCTACACTGTACTGTATTAATTGAGTGGTTCTACTTCTTGAGGTGGCTGGAGTAAGACTGCCCTTTCATACTTACAAGACCAACAAAGCCAAGAAATCCTGTTCTTGTAAAGGGTTGACCTGAAACAACCACTCCTGCAGCTGTCACTGGAATGGTCTGACAAAAATATAGAAGATAAGGTATCAAGATACTCACCAAAGCTGATTTACTATTTACTGTATAAAAGAAACAAATTGAATCATTAAACCTTCCCTGATCCTGATGGTAACCTCCTGTCATAGGATCTTAAGAAAGTAAGGCTCAAAGAGACCTCTCAAGGTCATCTAGTCAAGCCCCCTGCTCAAGGCAGGGATCATTCTTCGCTAAATCATCTCAGTCAAGTGTCTGTCTAACCTGCTCTTGAAAATTTCCAGGGATGCAGATTCCACAGTTTCTCTAGGTAGCCTCTTCCAGTGCTTGACAACCCTCATAGTCAGAAAGTTCCTCTTAATCTCCAACTTAAATTTCCCCAATTAAAGCTTGCGGCCACCACTCCTAGTTGTGTTCTCCACAGCCACAACTGCACAGTGGGTTTTGCTACTATTCTTATTTCATCCTCTATCAAACCTTTCCCAAGCAGTTGGACCACACTGAAATCTAAGTGAACAATCACCAGAGTTATGCACTAATGTACCCGAACATTCTTTATGTAACTTTCCATACTAATAGTTTGTTAACAGAGCTAAGATGAACACACATATGAACATGATTCTAGAACATGAAATATAAACAAAGATACTAATGCTATTTCATTGGTTAAAGGAAAAACAAATTTCAACTGTAACATGCTACTGGAGTGAAGGGAAGTGTATTTGCTTTAGCTTTCATTAGTATTACCCCTCACCCAAAACAAACAAACAGACACACAAAAACCCAGAAATTGGAAGAAGAAACTGGAGCATGCCCATAGGAAGAAACTGACACTATTCTGCTCATCTACACATAACTGAAAAAAATCAAAATGTCTTTTAGCAAATATTTCACGACATGAAAGTTACAAAAAGACACAAACCTCAAACACATTCTTGGTGATTCCAAGGAGACCATAGTATGCTGTCCCAGTTGCCCCAGAATTCACGCATATTTCACCAACCTCATCAGTCTTACATAGATGAGGAGTCCCATCCACCTTCACAACACACACATTAGCTAAATAGACAGAGAGAGAGAGCAAGCACATAAGTGCAAGAGAATCATCAGCAGGGAAATACATTCGACTAAACTGTTATAGACAGAGCCTGATGTTGCTGAGTAGGTAACACCATGAAATAAATTTTAATATGAAATAATAATAACACCATGAAACAAGTTTTCATATCAAATTGACTGATGCCTTGTCAGACATCACAGTGCCACTGAGGATGATTCAGTGCTTGAGTCTCCCAAGTATTGGTGTCAATATCATATTTCTTTAGATTGGCCTTCAACGTATTGTTGAGGCTCTTCTTTTGCTTACTTTTCAAGTCACGATCACTGATGAATTGGGAGTATAGGTTTTGGGAGTTGGTTGTCAGGCATCCTTATGACATGTCCTGTCCAACAGAAGTGGTACCACATAAACATGGCTTCAATGCTGATGGTATTTGCTTGAGCCGCAACACTGGCATTCATTCTTCTGTCCTTCCAAATGATCTGGAGGATTTTCGAAAGACATTTCTGATGGTAGCTTTCCAAAGCTTTCAGATGTTTCTGATATGTTGTACAGGTTTCACACCCATACAGCAAAGCAGAAATGACAACAGCCTGACAGACATGAAGTTTGGTTTGGATCCTGATGTCATGACCATAAAAATACGATTTTGGAGAGGCAACACAGGTAGATTTTATCCAATGTGGAATAATCTTGTCTAGGTTTACATTTTGGGAAAAGTGGCTACCCAGTTAAGGGATATAACCCATGTTCTCCAAGGATTGTCCCCTAATTGTAATATATGGAGGAACAGCTGGATGGTTTGGTAAAGTATCTTGGTTTTTGTGAAGTTGATATCAAGTCCAAGCATTTTCTATGCTTTAGAAAAGCAATCAAGAGTAACCTGGAGCTGTTCAATTGTATGGACACATGCACATTCATTAGTATACTGAAGATTAGTAATGGAGGTGCTAGTTGTCTTGGATTTGGAATGTAGCTGGGATTTGGCTGTCCTACTGATCAGTAGTGTCAAGATCTTCAGGAAGGTGGGTGAATTTCTCACTGAGGCACTATTAGAGATGATCACTTTTAGCAGGGTCTTTGAAGCATTCAATATAGAAATTCTTCCTTGATAGCTTCTTTTGTTTACATTGTTTTGGGATGATGTGAATAGACACGATAGACTATATCACATGATCCTTCCAGCAGTTGTCTGTGCTAGGGTAGCTTGTTATATTTATTGCTTTGAAGTTGCATCTGCTTATAGAGTGGTGAATTATAGTACTGTTTATATTTAGCCTTATTTAATCATTATTAAGTTTTGTATAGCCTTATTAACTTCATTTTTTTATTAGCTGGCCTTGAGTTGTTTTTGTAGAGCTCATAGTGCTCATTATAGTATATCTTTTCTTTTTTTATCACTGCAAATTCTTCTAACATAACATAGCAATGGCCTTGCTACCAGCTCAAATTAACAGAACTTGGCATTAGCCAGCTGAAACAGAGGGATGAAAGGATTGGATACGTTAATTTAATAGATTTCATAGATATTAGGGCTGGAAGGGACCTCACAGGATCATCAGGTCCAGCCCCCTGCCCAAGGGACAGGAAGTTTGCTGGGGTTAAATGATACCAGCAAGATAAGCATCCAAGTGTATCTTAAAGGCGTCCAGAGTAGATGCTTGCATCACTTGGGGGGGAGTGGGGGGGAGTCTATTCCGGACTCTGGGAACTTGGAAATTAAAGAAGTTTTTTCTTATGTCCATCTTAAAACAGTCTTCCCAGAGTTTGTGACCATCAGACCTTGTCTTCCCTTGGGGTGCCCTGGTGAACAGATGTTCTCCCAGCTCCTAGTGTACGCCCCTTATATACTTATAACCTGCCATGAAGTCCCCACTGAGCCTTCACTTCTCCAGGCTGAAGAGTTCCATGCCTCTCAGCCTTTCCTCATAAGACTTGCTCTCTTGTCCTCTGTTCATGTGGGTGGCTCTCCCCTGGACTCCCTCAAGCTTCTCCACATCCTTCCTAAAGCACGGAGGTCCAGAACTGGATGCAGTACTCCAGCTGCAATCTCACCAAAGCCAAGTACAGCGGGAGGATGACTTCCTGGGTCTTGCTTGAGAGGGGATACACTACAACATCTTCTAAAAAGGCAAACCCACAAACAACTGAGCGGGTCTGATTCTATCCAGTAGAAGACAGCAACATACAAATTAGTACCGTACAACAGCCAACATGGTCATAAGGCAAAACAACAGAACAACAGATGCCTGAGAAGCAAGACAGCGCAATTAGAAATGTAGACATCAAATAAGATTAACCCAAAAACCCATTAAACCAATGTCCTCAAACCTCTGAGTAGAAGGACTAGAGGAGGATATGCAAATAATTTTCTGAATTACTTCACACTTTAAATACACTACACACTAACTTTTCACAAAGAAAAGCAGCCTATGTAATTGTCTGATGGATGTATTAAAACATACTGAACACCCTAATGCTGAAATATAGAACATCGTAGAAAGATGGGATCTATCACCAAGTCAAAGGAAATATAGAATTTTTTCAGACAAATTTATCTTCCATGTCTTTCTTCTGAGATAGTAATGAATTAGTAATAGTCCTATTATGCTTCTAAATTTGGATATTTCAGCATTAGGAGTAGACAGAATAATTTCTCATCTTGGAGCAGTGAGACAAAGTTACTTTCTGCACGGGATATTACCAAAACCCTGAAACCATACTCATATATGTTCAGTTGTTCTGATCCACTTGGATTTAAACATCCATATTTGTTATTTTACATCTAAGTGACAAACTCATATCTACTTTATGTAGCCAGTACACGTGTAACATATCTGTCTCAGAAATGCAGCAAAAATCAACTCATACCTAATACCCACTTCAGTCTCTTTCTTTTTTTCCTATGAATTTGCAATCATTAGTCTTACTAAAAGAAACGTTAGTTCCATGCCTTAAAGCTCAAGTAACTTTGAAAATATGGCCCAAATATTTTTTATCACTAATTTGTCACTGACCTTACCCATTTGGAGGTAGATAAGTGACAGGCTCCTAGCAAAGTGTTTCCTACATCCAGTGCAGACTTCATTAAGACTATAAAGATTAATGACAGTAATCTAGCTAGAATATCTATTTTCTCCACTATTCGTAACCTAGATCTGTCACTCTTGCTAGCCTGATACTTCCCCCTCCAAAATAATTTTTTTCGTTGGATTCTGCAGACATCCATGTTTGAATACTATATCTGGCTACACTAGGAGAGGCAGAATTCAGTGTTGCAATGAACACGCAGATTCTTTTACTCAAAGATCCTGTTTATTTTCCCCCTTCAATATAGAAACATTGCCAGAGACTAAAAATATCAGAACTTGTGAAAACTGTATTTTCAAAGATAATTTTAAAATCCCTGCTCCCCCTAGTATTTTCTGAGTATCAGATATCTCACTTTTGCAGGCCTTGGAAAAGATCATAGATTAAGATAGAGAGATTGATCTTTTAGAAGAATGGACTACAAGAGCCTCATCTGTCTCTCAACATTTTTATTCTGAATGGCATACACCTATTATGATGGAAATTCAAGATGAAAAATAATTTGCTCCAGATGTTAATGATTTGTTGGACAGGACAAAACACCAACAACTGGGGTTTTTAAATGGTTAGTTCATTACACCCATTAAATGTTTACTCAAATTATTTATTAGTATGATTAAAATAACCACCATAATGATAGTCATAAAGGTAATAGTATAAGAATATTATCCATTGGCAGAGGAAAAATGGGTGGGATAAGAATAAGAAGTAGGTAAGATGTACAGTATCTCTCTCTTAACTCTACTTATTTCCCCTCATCCTATTTTTGTTCTGCTGTGCAATGACTATGCAGTTCTAATTAATGCAAACTAATGTCTCATACTGACATTTCACTAGTATTGTAGACTAGAGTGTGACTGAATCAAAAGCAACCCACCACACCTAAAACTATGGTGAAATTAAAAAGCAGGCAGGACAATATTTCTCCTCATATGTTCAATATTTAATACTTAATTTATATTTTCAGTCTGTTCTCAAAATCCAGTTTCAAATATTAAGACAGCTAGCTGCACTGCTGTAAAGGAAACATCACATACAGTCTAGTTATAATTATTTGATTAAGGCAAGCTGCACAAAATAAATTACATGGAATGTAGATTATCAATTAAACAAATGTTAAATGTAGTTTTCTTACCTCCAGGCATAACCTGACCAACATCTTGTACAGTGAGCACAGACAGCTTTTCTTCTGTATCCACTCTAATCACACCATAACTCAAACAATTCATAGACAGCACTGCTTTTCCTGGAGGTGGCCCACCTAAATCTGGAGGTCTAAAATATGGAAGGGGGAGGAAAGGGAATCAAAGTTGCTATGATACTAAGTATGAATCTACAGCAATACAAACAATAAAGAAACTGTGAAATTCTGTTGAGGATGAAAGTGCATGACAAATTCAACCATAAAAGCTGGATCAGTAAGGAGACCAGTAGAAATAACAGGTTTTATATATTCATTTCCCAATAGAAACAGAACCAGTGTTAAAGAATTACAATGGCACTCCAGTAGGAACACACACAAGGAGGTATAAATTCTAGACATGCAAGTGGAAAGAACAACTGCTACAGGGTCCCCTACCACTCTAATGTTATAAGACATAAGTTCCTTAGTAAGTAAAGAACCATAGGTAATAACCATTTAGAAGCTAGCCTTCCAAACTATAAGAATCATCTCCCATTGGGAATATAATTTGAACAAGTCCTAAATTTATGTAAAATATAGAAGAATTGGCTAGAGGATCAACAATTATATTTCATAACAACTTTCCAGGTTTCTAAACTTGTTTTAATTCTGAATGTTTTCATAAAACAGAATTATATCAAAATTACTATTTTCCAACGAAAGGGGGCAGGTTTTCAATTCATGTCTTCTACCATTCCCCCTCAGAGCTTCCACTCTGGATCTCAGAACATTCCTAACAAAAACTCTGTTGAAAAACAATACACTGAAAATGCATCATATTTTGATAAAAAACATTTTGTCAGAAATGTTCCGACTTGCTTTCTGACCCTATTGTAAATCATAGCCATTCTTCTAAGTCCAGGAGATTTTTCTTCCCTCCCCAAACGTGTTTCTTAGAACCCCACTGATCTGTACTTTTAGTCAGATTATTTAAACTATTCTGGCTGATCTTTTTCTATATAGCCATGCTGGAAAGGTAGGGAATAAGCTTGAGGCAAAGTGCAAACAGAACCCGAGAATAAAAGAGTGCCATGATACCACGAATTAAGACTGGCTGTGGGAATAGGACATTTCAGCTGTAGATACTCCTGGCATGGGAGTTCAATAGAGCAGTGTGTCAAACAGTGGTGCCAATATGTCTTTGAGCTGAAAAACGTGATGGGCCAGGAAATGGTGTGCATATGGATTGTCAGGGTAGATATGCTACACACCAGAGAAAGATTTGGATCTGGAGGTGGTATGTGGAGGGCTCTGCGGCTGACAAAGTCTGAATAGTCTGAAAAGCAAGCTGGAGTTGTTTGGGACAAGTACCCTTTACATCTCTTAATGCATCAGCTAGCAACCTTTATAAATGGTGGGCCAGAACAACCCGGCTCCCATCTGAGTGTTTTTGGTGGCACATCAGTAAAGGGGCCAGGAAGATGGAAGCTGCACCTGTGCCACTGCTGTTTCTCTCTTCCCCCACTTCCCCATCTTCCAGCTGCAGTGTTAGTGCGGCTCTACCAGCTAGAATCTGTGCCCACACTGCAACCTAGGGGAGGGTGAGGAGAATGGGGTGGGGAGAAGCAGTGGTGACACAGGCACAGCTGGTAGCTGCCCATTCCTGGCACAGCTCCTCACTGCTGAGGCTTAAGTGTGGGCACATACAGAGGCAAAAACAGGTGGCTCTGTGAGCTACCCATATGTTGCCCACCTGTCTTAATGTCAACAGCCTTGGACAGCACCAGCATCCCATGACAGTGGGGTGAGATGATGCTGAAGATGTAGCTAGCAATACTCAACAGTCACCTGCAGAACTCCCATTGAGCTGCGAATGCTTGAAACCAAGGTAGGGCTGGTCTTGGTATGCCTGATAGTCTGTAAGGCTTTATAGAGTCCTTTCAGGGTTGGGACATCTCAAAACCTGACTGGTCCCACTGCCATGGTCCTTCCATGCTTCACATGACTCCTGTATAGACCTTGAAGCATCTACAATACTGTGAGTTCTGATACTGGATCTGACTGGAGACGAGGTGGTAACACTACTCTGTATCCTAGCAGAAGATCAGCCATGGCATCAGGAAGTAGGCTGATACAATGATGCTGTTTGGCACAATGTCTGAAGAGATAGGTTTCTTTCAGAGACAGCACCAAGAGCACTGTCACTTCTGGTCTTGGTGATGGGATCTAAAGACATACCTAAGGACTTAAAAAGAAATATTCTTAATTTCTCTTTCCTTCCTGGTGTTCATTTTTGAGGTAGTGACAAATGTCACCCTTGGGAACATGGCTCTTCCCCCAGGAAGGAAAAGGACTGTTTGTGGGGGTGTCTGATGCTGAAATAAAACCTTCACAAAATGGACAGCTAGAGCAACTAAAAAAATTTGGCTTCAGCAAAAATAGATCCCAGCAGGTGAGTTCTGGGAACACAGTATGCACTGAAGTTCAGAGATGATGGAACCCCATGGTTCATTTGAAAAAAAAGTTTCAGGGGTAAGGGTAGGAAAGGTGCTAATACCCCAAGACTAAGGGCATGGAGAGAAAGGGACTCTTATCAAAATCCACTCCCTTTATCATATCCCCTTCAAAATACAGGGAAGAGGAAAAGCTTTGAAAAAAAAAGTGTAACAACAACAAAAAGAAGACCTAGATGAGGAATGGTAACAGGATGTGGGACCAAGCTGACAAGTCTCAGCCAGAAGGCTAAGATGAACTCAGGGTGCAAAGTGTGGAACTCCCTTCTATTCTTTTGGTGGAGAGAAGGAGGAGATGAGTACATGCTATGGGTAATGTTAAGGTAAAAACCATAACAAAAAACAAAGGTCTGGTGAAAAGCTCACACACTGAACAAGAGAGAATATTTATGTGGACAATTATTTGAAGGAGAGAAGCTAACCTTTTGGATAGAGAAACCCTTTACCTAAGGATTCAATACCCTTAATTCTGTAAGTAAAGATTATATAAAATACCAGAGTAAATCATCCATAGGACTTTCAAGAAGCTTTCCGGAAAAACAGGAAAGAACACACTTGACCTTGCTTTTTTGATATTTTTAAACAAGTTGTTTAAAATATTTCTCAGAACATCTTTATGAATCATTACGCTATAGAAAGAGGTGACAAACCCCATGTTTTAAGAATTCTACCACAGGTTTAAATGAGATACTAAATAACTAGCTCAGTCATCCTTCCACTAATTTTAACATCCTTTAAGCAACTAAAACTTTATTCTGTCTTGCTATACCCCGTACACAATATTAACAGCAAATACATTTCTTTTTTAAGAAATATATTCAGTTACATTCTCACAAAGGATGATTACCTGCGAATAGCAACAGTTAATGCCTCTGAAGAACTAGCACAGGGGCAGATAACTTCTGGTTTCAAACCTCTGGACTGAAATACGTTGAGAAATGCATCACAGGAAGAGATGGACCCTAAATATACCAATCACAACATGTGAAATATTTGCACAACTGGCAGAACTATAAGAAGCTAGCAGAATTTCCATATTAAATTTTACTTCTGATTTACCTGTACAAATATGAACATATCCTCGCAATACTTTGGAAGTTGGTTAAAGAGCACACCTCATTACCACTTACATAACAGGAGCTCCAGATGCTATAAAAATACCTAAGTTAGCTAGTGATCAGCATTCACAAAGTGAAAATCACACTAGAGTAACCCTCCTACCATCCAGGACAAATTGTGTCACAGCAAAAATGGATTGTATGTCAACTGTTCTACAGTAACTGTTCATGTGCCTGCTCTTACACTCCAGTAAGCTGGAACTAAATTGTAACAACCAGGGATCTGGGTTTTCCGTTTCCCATGGAAAAATAGAGAACACAATGAATTTTACCCTTTACAGGAGGAGAAGACAGATTTCTCATTTTACCGGAGAAACCTGCGGATTTTACAGTTTTGCAAAGAGCTCTCTGTAGGCTGGCAGAGTTCCAGCCTGCAAGGGAGAGGGAGCAAGAGGAGGGTGGTCAGGCAGGCAGTGCCATGTGCATGTATATGTATACGCACATGGCCGCCAGGCAGCCTTTCAT